AAAAATGACTAGAATGTTATATGTTCAGTTTCTATCTAAGGAAAAGAAGGTTGAGGGGTACAGGAATTGGCTTTTTTGTTTTTGTTTCTTCAGCTTTCTAGGAAACCACACTGCTAGGGTATATCAGCTATGACAGAAAAGAAAAAATGCTTGGCATAACCTTGATCACCACCACAACTAAGAGAAAAGCATTATGTCATTGACCATGCAAGAACGTTAAATCACAATTTTATGATGTTTCGCCCTGAACGGGGGTGCTGTGGGAAGAGTCAGGGACCACAGAGATGGCCTCAGCGCACACAGAAGTGGCTGTTAAATACAAAGTCCCCTGGCCCGTACAGAGAACTTCTCTTAACTCATGCTAAGCTGGGGATCCCCAATACAGGCGACTCTGAGCACCATCCTGGGCCCGCACGTGCGGAGCTGGAAGTCACAGGAGTTGCTAAGCTGACCCTGGGGCAGTAGAGGCCCTTGGGGGATTCAGGTTTCCAGCTCTGTCCCCTCTCAAACCTCCCAAAGTCTTCCTTCACACACCTTGACGTTTCCAAAGAGACTCTCCAAACTGTACTTAGATGCAGGAGATTTTTCTAGGGGAGAAGAAAATCAATCAATCAATCTCACGAAATTCCTGGTACAGTAAGAAAGAAAGGCTTTTTTGGGTCAGGAAATGGGAGCTCCCAGCCTGCTCTGCCACCTAGGAGCCCTGGGCTTTGGCCAAGTCATTTAATCTCCCAGAGCCTCACATCTCAGTTTAAGATAAGCACTTGGAGAATGGGTGGTTACCATGTCACCACCATCATATGTCAGAGACGGCAGCCCGGGAAGCAGAAGGAACGTGGGCTGGTAAGCAACAGACCTTCTGCTTCCTGGGCTGCCATTAATAGATGGGGACACAAAGCCGCAGGAGAGGTGAAGGGGACTGTCCAGAGTCACAGAGTTGAGCGTGCACAGCTGTGTCAGAGTCTCCTTAACCTCTCCTGTGGCTCCGTGTCCCCATCTATTAAATGGGGACAATAACATCTGCATTTGCGACCAGAGGTAATACACAAGCGGTGACAAGCCCTGTGCCGGGTACCTGCCAACGATGACCCCATAGATGACAGCTGCTTCCACTGACTGCACCGCCAGGGGCACTGTGGAATCAATGTGGCAATATTTTTTTTTTTTTCTAGCAGCTGTCAATACTTACTGGTTAATTATTTAACCAATTGCCACAGATTTAACCACAGTATTAAAGGCTGTGGCCATCTCTTTATATTCAGTACGCTATAAAGAAGAAACGATCAGTTCAAGCTGCAGAGACTGTTCCCCCAGATCACCCAGGGGCCCAGTGTGCGGCAGAAAGCGGCTGAAACGGGCCCCTCCGTTTGGGCAGAAACTCCACAAGTTACTTCCAGGTATCAGAGACCTCCGAGCCACACGCTCAACAGAAGCTTCAGCCCTAAAAACTTAATGACTGAGCACCGGGCTTTGCACGTAAAAAAATCTTTCTAAATAACCTGTTGGGGGCCAAGTCAGCTCCCAGCAATCTCCAAAATACCAAAAAGCCAGGATATGACAAAAGTGAGGAGTAAATTCTAGATGACTTTTCCAAGTGTACACAGTCTAGGAAAAATTGTTCTGAAATAAACTGAGGCTAATATGAAGATAAGTAGTAAACTTTAGTAGTTAAAGAAATATTACTGGATGGCGTTTTTATGGATGTAAGAGTGACAGGCTCAACGTTTCATCTTCTCGTGCTCACTGCTCAGTTAAACACAGCCGCTGCTGCTTCTATCACAGAATGGAAAACGATGTGTGTTGGCTCACTGTGGACATTTACATGCTGGACATGCATATCACCACCTGACTCGGTTTGTGAAATCCAGTCCTGTTTACTTTACTCAAACTTGAGTTGTGTCACCTAAGCCACTGTCCTTCCCTCCCCACTACACCATCCTTCTGTCCATTAGGACATGTCTGTCGTGAAAAAGCCTCCAAAAACCTTTTCAAAAGTCAAACGAACGTGCAGCATAGCAGACGAGGCCCTTCGCATCCCCCGTCCCTAGTAATGAACGGCCAGCCTCCAACAGTCAATTACGGTCACTTTCCAAGTACACATGGAAAGAATTAAGTGCAGATGACGCATTTGCCAAAATGACAACTGTGGTGGTCTTCAGGCTCTTCCTATGGTCTCCACTCCCCAAAGAAGGCAGGGTCAGAGCCGGAGGGTCCCAAGACTTTGTTCCTTAACTTCACTGGGGAGACCAGAAAACAGGGTAGGGAAATGCACCACGTGGAAATGGGCTGAGACGTTACTCAGGCCCTCAGACACCGCCATCCTCCTCAAGCTGCTCTCAGCCCAGCCCCAGGCATGCAAACCTTGAGTGCCCAATAGCTGGGAAATGCACCCAAGGCTGGCATCCTGCTTACTGTTCTACCAGGTCAGCATTTCATTTCTTTCTGACATGCCAAAGGGTATGGCTGACTGAGCTGTTGCTTTCTCTGTTGGCACTTCAAAGACCACCGGCCAAATGGCAAATGCCTGGTCCCCAACCCAGTGTTGTCTAAGTGACCTGCAGTCTCCGGGAACCATGGCCCAGCTGTTCCAATCAGCCTGCCCCGTTCCAAGGAAACACATTATATCTCTGTACGCATGTCCCCTCATTCTTTAAAACTTGTTCCCAACATAGCATCCCCTGGCTTTTCCATACTGTCCCCAAAAGGGTCAGTTGGTCCCTGCCTCAGGTACCAGGGACTGACTGTAAGAACCTCCACTTCAGCAGTTAACACAGTCCCAAACTGTCAGGGTCCCATCCCAAAAGGGCATGGGAAAAGGTAGCTGGGACTATATTTTATCTATGTTTTTTTTTTTAACTGCTAAAACAGTCACTGCAAGAAAAACAGCCCAGAATACAGGTGGGGTGTTCACAATAGATGCTGATTACATGAATGGCTACATCTCATGATTTTCCAAATTAACATTTTTCTAAACCACAAAAGTCAATTTTAATAGGTGAACCAAGGTTTTGTGTGGACCTTATCACTTATGAAATAAAAGTCATCCTTTAAAATTACATGTGTAGATATTTTTGCAAGCCAGCCGGCTCTCATGATCTCCATTTACTGTCTCGTCTACGTGGCACTCGTGTGCTGGGAGCTCCTGCAGACCGAGCTGCTGGGTGAGCATGCCATACTCCCCTGCCTCACCAGCTTCTGAACCAGCACCAACAACCACCTCAGGTCTGCTCATGTCACTCATGATCAAGACCTTTCTACAGAAGTAGTGTCCGATTCTGATGCTAATAAATTATCAATGAGTTCTGATGATCCGATCAGAAGATCTGTTATTTCCAGCTTATACTCCATTCCCTTGAAATCTGACAAGTGGATTGATACATGACTGCATTTGCAAATGACTGTTTTTAAAAAGTCCAATTGAAGGACTTTTTTTGTTTGTTTTTTAAAGAAAACGGAGTTACCATGGGTTTGAGAAGTTTTCTGATGCAAGATAAAATCTCCTAGGTTTGGAACGGGAACACCCCTAGGGTGTTTGTCTTGCATAAGGTCTGGAAGAGAGACCTGGGAATGCCCCATGAATGCATGAGGGGATCCAAAGCTAAAAGACCCAACAATGGCTGGGGTGAAGTCAGGTATGCAGTGTGAGTGCTGACCAGGAGCTAGCTCTGGAAATCACAACACACAACACCCTAAATCAACGGAACAATGTGGCATTTTCTCCAAAAGATAACATAAAGCATAACAAGACAAGATCACTAAGACACTTAATCCTATCCTTCTTGCATATTAATTTTATGCTGTTCTAAACACCAAACATCAAAGGGGCATAACTGAAATCAAAAAGAGATTTTTCTTTTAAGGTGGTCGAAGAGAAAGAACATATTCACAAGATGTGTTTGTAGTAGTAGCAGACCAAGTAAGAGGAAATTCTAACTTTCTAGATAATTTTCAGAAATCACCACACCAAGAGAGTCCATAGTCCCATATGATAGTTTCAAGATTACTTTAAAACAATCTGCAAATAATAGAAGCAAATTGAAGTTTTTAAGGAAAGCTAGTGTTGTTCTTACAGTTCATTCTGAGACAAAGCACTGGAGGTGAAAATTTATCTTCTCATAAAGCACTGCTTCCTGCCCAGCCAGAAACAGAACGCTGGATTAACTGGACCACCAAACACAGCAATTCATATTTTAAGTTAAATGTCTCAAACTGTTAGGGCTAAGAAATATTTTTGTTACACGGTGACATGTTTTTGTCTGGTGCCTGTGGTGATAGCACGCCTGGGTCCCAGAATCCACATGCTGCATCACAGTTATGGTTTAATTGCAACATACACAAGAAAGTTTTTCATATGAACAGGTAAAACCCTCCCGAGAATCCTTCATCTGTCTGCATCTCATTTGATGTAGGCTTTTTTTTGCCCCCCCCGAGATTGAGTCTTGCCGTGTCACCCAGGCTGGAGTGCAGTGGTGCGATCTTGGCTGACTGCAACCTCCGCCTCCCAGGTTCAAGTAATTCTCCTGCTTCAGCCTCCCGAATAGCTGAGACTACACGTGTATGCCACCATGCCCAGTTATCCTTTGACGCAGATTTATCTTCTCAGCATCAAAGCTGGAATCCAACCTTTCCTAGACTGAAAGCACCAGAAAAGTGGTTATTTATCCTTATACTCCCTGTATAAGACAGAATACAGGGGACCAGGATTGGTTATCGACTCAAGAGTCAGTACATATCTGAGTGTGGAGGTACCTGTACCATCTTACAGGTTGGAGGTGTCTACCATCCCGCTTCCAGGCTACATACTCAGAACCATCACACACTGAAGTAGGAACAGAGATAATCTAATTTTTGAACCAGGTCCCTCACTGAAAGCCTAAATTTAATATGATTCAACAAATCAAGGCTACACTGACTGATATTTTACTAAACTTACTGTCCAAATTGAGCATTTGAGGCAAAAAGCTGCAACTTCTGTTTTAAGCAGAAAGCTGCAGACTCACCTTTGGCACACAGTTGAGAGGTGACTGGCAAAACGCAGAACTCTTCAAAATGATGACGTTTTCAGCTAATTACACCTCTGAAGTTACAAAGCTGCAGGGATTCTCCAAATTCTCAAATCTCAGCAGAGAATTATAATTTGGGACGTCGCTTGTATACAAGGAACACATGAAATCTAAAAAGAAAGAAGCGTATATTAGATCTGCTTACTTCTTTGATTTTAAGCAACCAGTTTTAAAAATAACTGGTTATTCATTTGCCTGAAACCAATTTTTTTTTTTTTTTTGAGACAGGGTTTCCTCTGTCACCCAGGCTGGAATGTGGTGGTATGATCTTGCCTCAATGCAACTTCCGCCTCCTGGGCTCAAGTGATCCTCCTGCCTTAGCCTCCCCATTAGCTGGGACTACACACATGTGCCACTACCCTTGGCTAATTGTATGTATTTTGAAACCAATGCTTTAAATATATCCCAGAATAAAGCTGCTCTGTGCCTAAAGACCTCCATCAACACATACTCCTCCCTCTTCCCACCTTTCATTCCCTGGGCAAGCTCCCACACTCGGCTGGGGAAGGCCAACCGCACACCCAGTGAACAGCAGGTGGAAGGAGGTCATGGGGTGTGGGGGACAGCCAGCCCATAATCAAGTGACCTGAGCTCCCAGTCCCTTCCAGACTTCCTCCTCCCAATGACCCCCACCTTTAAAAGCCTCCCAGAAATAAAAGGGTGGCTGCCAATTAGAAAGGTGGCCAGTCTGGGAGTCTAATGAGGGAGAAGGGTTACAAAGGGCATGGATATTATTTAGAGACTCGTTCCTCTCTTGGAGGTCTGTTGCACCAGCCATTTATTAAGAGGTTACCAACTGGACCCATAGCCTGGGGTTAAAAAGCACCCCTGCTTTCAAGACTTCTGAGACGAACACTCCAAAACGAGAAGGAAGTTAAGATGAGAGGCGCCTGACAAAGGTGACCAGCTCTCTCCTAGTTGTGGAGAGCTGGATCCTGCATTATGTTCACTGCACTTGGTAAATATGTTCAGTCTTTGACTAACGTTTTCGAGGGGACCCTGGAGCACTCTGTGGACTTCAAGTGAATTCACTGACATTTTTAATTACATTTCAAACCCAGTGGGGATCTGTCTTGACAGTTCACTCAGAGATCTATTAATTCATCCCCAGCATGATTATGACCCAAAATGTTAATACCCCATAGAAAAATCGAATTCTATTTTAGTCAAAGAGAAGAAGATAATTCAAATAGGGCTATCATAAAAATGTTATAAGGCAAGTTCATAAATTTTGATTTAAAAATTAATTCCTTTTTATCCATTCTCTAGCATTATTTTAAAGGCCGCATCATTTTAATATAGATATAATTTAAGGCAAGGAACAGGTGATGGCCAAACACAATGAGAATACATCTTCGGGCAAGATGTCAGATGTACACTAGGCAGATTGCCCTTTTTCCTGTTAGGTGTTTATCATAAAATGATAGGTCCTCTCAAAATGGAAGTAGTGGAATCTGAACTCCGTTCTTGACCAAGAGTTCTTGTTTCTCATGCTGACACCACTGAAGAAAGCCATCAGCACAGGGCAATGTGCTGGGCACCATGCCCCTAACACCGCCTCTGTATGTGTCATTTTCAGGGGCTCTTATAAACGCAAGTTGTATTGTTAAGATTTTAACTGGAAAGTGAATTTGCCCAGAGTCCACGCCTTCCGCAGGCAAATGGCAAGGAATTGTTTATGCGGTTGTTTGGGTTGTCCAAACACAGGCCTCCCACTGTGTGCCCTGTGTCTCATGAGTAATATGATTTAATCCTTCTGATACACTTCCAGGATGGATTCTAATGCCCATATTTACAGAGGAGTTCACTTTCTCAGGGACACTAAAGGTTTTTCCCAACTGACTGCAGAGGAGGAATCACTCAGGCCTTGGACCTCAGGCCTTGGACTCCGGATGAGTGGGCTTTGCACATCTCTAATCTCTTCTGCATGCGAACAGAGGAGACACTCCTTACGCCGACAGCAAAGCAAAAGGCCGAGCAGCTTCTCTGCCAGCCCCCGCAAAAGAACAATGAGCTGGATTTAGAACCTGAGTCCTCTGATACTAGGCACAGTGGACAAGTCAGAGCACAGCCTCTCCAAGCACAATCAGTAAAGGAAAAGCCAGAGAGGATGGAACAGGGCTTGGACTGATGCAACAGCTCCAACAAAAGTGAGGCTATTGAAAATCCACTGAAAGGTACCAGTGGCCACTGGGATTCAAGTGTAAAAAGTGAAGTTTGCATGAGATGTTTTCCTTGAGAAAAGCATTCCATTGACAAACTGTCCATGTGTTCAATGTACACCCTAAGTAGAAAAAAAACCACGATGATCGACATCTCTCTCTTTGGGTTTAAATGAAGACTGCCCAAGTTTAACATGGGGTTCTGAGCTTACTCAAAACCTGTGTTAAGGAAGAGCATTTCAAAGCAGGTCTTAATTATAATCAGTTATCGAAATCCATCAGGAAAGTGTACGCTTTTGTGCAAAAAACAGTACCAGCCTGAAAGAGAAACACCTATAAGGTCACTTAGACTGTAGAAGGCCCTCACCAAAGGATTCATTCAAGGATTTTCTAGAGCCAGCTTCAGGAAGACAGGAATATATAGAATGGGTGTGGGCTTTTCTCTAAAAGTACTTCACTAGCACTACGTGCATCTCCCTTTAGAAATAAAAAAAGGAGGGAGGGCTAGAAGGCAATTAACGCTGATACCGTGCATACCTCTTCCTTTTAATTTGGATCCTTAATACTACAAAATTTTACCATTGCAAAATCCAAGGGATTATCTGAATTCTCCGTAACCTTGAAATTTGCATTTTTCCCACTAAAGCCACAACCCAGGGTTTTCCAGTGTTTTCAGCAGCACTTAGCTGCGTGTTGGGCGAGTGTGCTGAGCACCGCCAAGCCACACTACTTGTCCCAGGTGCAGGGCCAGGCAGCGAGATGCCCCCTGCAGGCAGTCCTGGGCGGTTCTGCATCCCCAATACCAGCGTGGTGCTGGCGCAGTGTCTTCTGGGGCACCTGGGCTGGTTTCCTCCAACTCTCAGCATCTGAGACGGAAGTCCAGTGATGAGTCCCTGACTAAGGCAACTCCAGAGGAGCAGTTCAGGGTTAAGAAGAGAGTTATGAGCCTTGTTCTGATGACAGCCCACGGCTGTGAGCTTTGTGGGCATAATACTGCCGGGTGCTGTCACTCAACTTGTTTCTAAGGTGGCCTATTTGTCCAGAAAACTGAAGTCACCAAGAGGCTAAAGTCAGCCTTCAGGAGGCTCAGGGAATCCCTGCTCTCCCACTCTCCAACTGATAAAACAGTGACAGGCGCTGGGAGAAGAACATGCTCTGATCCCAGTGAGACACTCGCTGTGGCTTCACCTTAGTGTCACAGCAACCCTGGGAGATACATCTTATCATTCAGCCGAGGAACCAAATGACCAGATGTCCCACAACCAGACTTTGAATGCACACTTGTCTGATTTTAAAGCCAGCGTGCTCTTTCTTCTGACAAAGATCACCACGAAAGGGCTAGAACCTTGACAGTCGCATTTTGCAAATCGCATCTGCTGCTGCCATCTGTCTGGGCTATCTGCCACCCTGGGTGGCCGGCTCCAACCTCTCAAATCGGCTAGGAACCATGTCAGGCTATGTCAAGAAGCAAGACCATGAATGTACACACACCAAGTTTGTTTTCAACAGTACTGCTGCTCTTAGATGTTAGCTCGGGGTGGCGGGGAGTGGGGAAGCCTAGTTGAATAGTGTCACCTGGCTGGGTCAGTAATGAGCAGATCTCGGACTCGCGTGTGTATCATAACCAAATCTAATCTGTGTTACACATGGAGAGAACCACTCCAGATCCCTAGTCTGTAGCCAGAGCTAAGGCAACTGTCCTTTACCTTTTATTGAAAACAACAACAAAAAAAAGCATAGGATTAGCATAGGCCTCGGAGCTCTCAAATGCCTTGTCTTGCCCTTCCTCCTCCCTCCCTGACCAGGGAGGCCCAGCAGAGGCCTGCAAGCAGATCTCCAGTTCAGAGTACGGAGGCGGCAGTGCCAGCCCAACACAGCACGGGGTCAGCGCTGTCTGGGGCAATTCTGGCAGAGCTAGCTATATTTCATTCCTAGTGAACCACTTGGAAGAGAACCTTATTCAAGTGGGAAAAGGCTGGTTTCAGATACTGAACAAAGCTACACAAGTTTCCTTGAGTGGTTTGGCTACAGTTCAACCCATGTGGACTGATACTGAGCAGCTCAGATGTGTTTATCAATCCGAAACTCAAAGGCGTCCAGGGAGATGACCTCAGCTGTCTCTTAATCATCCACTGCACAGTGGTTCGCAGGCAGGGTTCAGGAACGGCTGAAGCCTAGCTTCAAAAAGCCTCACTGCAATTAGAGTTTTCACTCAAGATCAAGCTGTCCTGAAAAGTAAAAATATCAAGTTTTTCTGCACTGGGCTGAAATGATATCAATTCCATATATTAATGCTGGTTAGGAGGTTAATTAGAAGCTGGTTAATGAAAACACGAGGGAAAAAAAAAAAATCAGAACTAATTTCTAATTCTCTAGAAAGTCAAAGAGTGGCCAAGGCGGGGGTTTGCAGGACAAAGGTGACTGATCAGAGTTTGGGGTCTGTCAGTTCTAGGTTCTGGAATAATGATTTCTGCCTTCAGATACTCCAGAGCTGAAAAAAGAAGGAAATAGCAAGCAGTAGGTCAATCGATGTGCTGAACCCCTATTAACTTTAATAGGGGTTCAAGAGACTGAAGAGATCCAGCACCAGCCAGGGTTTTATTAGGGGCTTACAGAGAAGGGAGAGAGTCTGGTGGCAGTGGGCTGGACAGGAGACCCGCACCTGCCTGCAAGCATCATGCAATTCATGTAGCATTTTCACTTAACACCCTCCCTGACCAAGGACCTCCACCTGGCATGCTTCACGCAACCCAAAACTCAGGGCCTCAATCACACCTGTTCCATGAGACAAGCTGCAGGACTCAGATGTTCCTTAAAGACAAGGACTGAATCTCCAGGCTGGCAACTTCTGGATTCCCTAGCTGGGAACACACATTCAGGCGCATCTGCCACACGAGGTCATTCTAACGGTCTGCTTAAGTTATTGCTGTCAGGTGTGTTTACCCTAC